CATTGATCGTATTCCTACAAATTTTCTTTCGTCCTTAATAAAAGAGATACCTAATTACCTTGCAAAATTGATATATTATACTATTCTGTTATTGGGTTGTCCTCGCATTGCCTCGCTCAACTTCGTTCCTTCATCTGTTTACTCTCTCTGATATGAATTAATACCGAATATTAGATAATTTAACATTTTTCCTTTTTCATTATCAACGATACGGTACCTTTTTATTGCGAAGCTTTTAAACGTAAACTCATTATTATCACATCAATATTTGACTAAATTCTGCATATTTATTCTGTTCCTAAAGTAGGTCTAATGAGATGAAACATTTCTGAATATTTATTAAATTTTATGCTTCAAAGGGAATTTAAAAATGTCTGTCGTGTTTCAGTATCATTTATCTGTCTTTAATTTTGTAATATATAAATACTAGCTGTTCCCGTGCGACTTCATCCGCATGATATTATGAAAATTTTATTATATTGTTTACATTTGTCAAATTATCAATTACAAATGTCAAAATGACATGCTATGATGACAACATTGCTTCCTTGATGTTGGCAGCAACTTATGGTCTCTTTCCCACATTAGGGTTTTTATCCAAAATATTTACCCCCTATTAATGGTGTTAAAATATATAGCCTAAAGCGTGACGTAGTAGGGCTTTTTAATAAAAAAAAGTAATTATTCAAAAGTAATTGCTAACATTTTAGGCAACAAAGAACCGTGTGTTTACGCTTTATTATAATAGTATAGATTATCCAAATGTTGTTTTAAAATATTGAAAACAAAACTATATAAATGAATTTTAAAGTCCAGGTTGGGCCACGATCGCTGGAAAGAAAATTACTACGTATCAGAAACATTCTTGATACATTTTTATTAAAAAAACTAGCTTTCTCCCGCTACTCTGTTCGCGTGGAAGAAAAAACAAAAGCAAGTTGCCTATGTGTTCTTCCAGACTATCCTCTACACCTAAGCAAAATTTAATCGAGATCCGTTCAGCAGTTTAGGCTACAAAATCTAACAAACATCCATCCATCTAAACTTTCGCATTTATAATATTAGTAAGATTAAGATTGAGATGTTTTTAAGTAAATAGGTACGCTTAGCTTTTTTTAAGATAAGCAAATAGTCGGTTAAGACGTTTCTTCTATCTATTAAGATCTCTAACAAATTCGTAGTCAGGGAGCGTAAACTGATACGAATCTGTGCCGTCCCTTCCAAGGCATTGAGAGCACTTTGTACTTTAAGCGATCGTAAAATATCTTTGTACTTTGAAAGGCGAGACACTTTTGAAACGTCCCCTTTACGGTTTCAACTCAGACGTAATGATTTAGAAAAGTGGCCGATAGAAAATATGCGCCCGCTCCTATCTTTATGACCTCTTTCTGTGTGCCGGAAGATTATGGATAAACCCCTAACGATATTTGTACAGATTTTCTTAATAGAATTTAGAAAATGACTGACTGATTAGCGAAAAGCAGAGATAATAAAACAGTGCTATATTTTAAATAATACGTATTATTTTAAGAATTTATCAATTCTTGCGTTTTAGATGAAACTCGCCTCCATAAAAGATTTGTAGTCCTCATATCTAAAACGTCTATGTATTGCATGTTATTGAACATTTTATTACCATCTACGGACATTGGAATATCGCGAGATCTCACTGCGTTACTACGGTGAGAAAGATTCCAAGTAAAAGTAGTGACGCTTCACGATTCTCCCGGAAAATGGTAAAAACAGAGCATGATAGACTTAAATTAAAGTTTTACTATTAAACACCATAACAATTATGTCTATAGTCATCTGCAGACATTTCAAACTATAATAAAACAATTGGAACATTCTGTCACAAAGTGAGAAGAGAATCGGATAGCGGACGCTGCAGCTGCGAACTCAACAAAGGCTCGGAATTAGCGCGCGAATGTCTCGCGGTTAAACTTTGTTCCGAGATACTACAACAACGTGTTTAGCAAAAGTTGGTTGTTGGAAAAGGCTAACCACAAAATGTCTAAATCATTTGTTAAATAGTTTATTGCGAATTATGCTTGTGTATGCTTAAACTTTAAAGTACATATTTAATTTTATATAGATCGAAATTGTATAACCTTCAAGCAACCTCTAAAACATTTATAAATTAAATTACATTTTGTAATTGACTCGATTACGCCCGTGACTCCGTCCGGTGGAATTAAAAAAATAACAAAATTGAATAGCCTATGTATTGTTTCAGACTATCCTCTACATCTATGCCAAATTTTATCGAAATCCGTTCAGCAGTTTAGGCTACAAAGTCTAACAAACATCCATCCATCCATCTAAACTATTTAACTATAATATTAGTAAGAAGTAAGATAAGATTATTTCACTAAACATTTTGTTCTATATTATAAACAATAGGTTTTATGCGAATTAGTTACTAAAAGATTTTTCACTTGTACTTGTAAAATCATTTTTAATCCATATATAAAATTATAATATACAGTCGGTATGTCCTGAAATGTTTTTCGAAATTTGTCAAACTACTATAGAAATTCTACGAAAAGTAATTACGTAGTATTAACAACTACACGGAGGAGGAGAGACGAAATTTTAATCACGAACCCGTTACGGACCAAAGCTTGGAACTCATTTTAAAACTAAATTTCATATGACAAAGTTAGATGAAAGTTGGAGGCGCTGAGCTGCGCTCGAGACTCACATTATCGCGTTACGGCCTGCTTATAGGATTAGTTACGCTTCACAAATTACGCATACTTTACACAAAGAAACATTACTTAGTGACTTCATGAAGTTACACAAAAGACTCAAAAATGTATTAAAAACGCAATATTTTCATTTCCCAAATTCCAAATTAGCTTTTTACGATGCAAGCATTCGTCCTTTATAGATATTTTTATTGCCTATTACCACGAAACGCGAAATTATAGTCGCAGCTCTACGTGTACAATATGATCCTTCCCCTAGTTCTGCATTGTTGAATGTTTGAAAAATCATTTATTGCTAACAGTTACTACGTTTTGTGTAATTTTTTGTTAAAATGTTTAAGTTTACGTTTAAAGGTTCTAAATCATAATAAAACAAGACATGACAAAGGCGAAAAGATTTCCGGTTAAACATTAAAAACCTCTTACGTTGGAACTGAAAGCCGGAGTGTACAATTTGCGGCGCGCGTGACAAAATTCAGGGATTCCCCCGCACACGGCGCAGCGATATTTCAACTCTGCGGTGACGTCATATTACATTTATTTTACAACTGAACAAATCCCACAGTCCGGGATTAGATTGCCTCGTTCCAGATTTTACTTTTTTTGTCAAATGAGAAAAAGTATATTTAACATCTGTTGTTAAAACTATTGCTCGTAAAAAAACGCAGGGGCTCCTCTAATTTTCTAAAACAAATTAAACTATACTTCATATTACAAATAGGAACGATTTGTATTTTGGATTTTTGGACGTATTGCAATAACTCAAAAAATATTGGAAAATACGTGGACGAAGTCGCGTTCGCAAATAGATTTCGAAAAAGTGTACAATTGATTCGTAGAAATCAAACACGCTGGATGTGGGCAGTCACAATAGAATGGAGTACACACAACAAACTAAAAATATCATTCTCTTACTTAGAGATAGATTAGGCATAAATTTAAAAAGCGATCAAATCTTTACGTGTTCGTTACCCAACAATATTAAAATAGAGCGAAGTAATGATGTTTACAACACACTTATAAAGAAACCAGACATTAAAATCTAGATTTCAGGATGTACTGCAATCAAACCTAATAATTTTATAACAATTCATTAATGTTCCATTCACTGATAACACACCGTATCTTTGAGTCTAAATCTCTTGATAATAGTAACATATTGCTAAATATAATTGCCCATTTCATTATTTGCAGTGATTGCACAATATACAAGAACATAAAAAAGGTAATTATTATAATGTAGATAAAACAGAATATATAAAACCACGTGATTGAAGAACATGGTAATAAGTAAAAGAATACTCCTTTGTTCTATTTTGAATAGAAATCAAGCTAGTTAGAAATAACACATACAATAAACGATGTTTTAGGTCACATAGATGTGAAAGCTACGTAAAATAATTACATTTTACTAATAGCTCTCAGGTCATAGCCTGGCGACGCTTAAGCGGCACATGAAGTTAACTTCGACGCAAATTTAATACCGATAGCGTAACCAAATTTTAAAGTTGGAAACAAACAATCAAATTGTTTTACAAAATATCAGATCGTGTTAGTTTAGATTTTAATTATTTTGATAATTAGTACCTAAAGTGTTAATTAAGCTAAAATAATTATTAACAAATACAAAAATAGCAAATTAATTATGATGTTATCTCTGAAAAAAGTACCCAGTACAATAAACTTGTTTCTTTTAAAATGCATATCAAATAATCTTAGATTGTGATAAATAATTAATGTATTTTCTTTCAAATGTGTTATTATTTTCGCCTTATCTTACTCCATTTAGATAAAAATTCAACAAAACATCAAATATTTTTAAACAAAAACGATGTACTTCCTCTACTTAGGCCCAGACTCGACGACTAAATAACAGTTATAAAGCAGATGTACCAGCTATTGAAAAAGCTAATTATTTATTTAAATCTATGATAGATTTAAAAAACTTATTTTCACACATATTATTTGTTGGTTACCAAACTTTTTTAGCAATCGAAAACCTTTCCAGGTTTAAGAATGAATTTACAATCTGCACAATAGACGTAACATATATATGTATTTTATTTTTTTCTAAGCTTCACTATAAATCTTACAGCTGCATAGATTTAAAACAAGCAAAAATATATACGTAATTTCATAAAATTATTTAATAAAAATCGCGTATTAACATAAATTGTTAAAGATAGTATTGAACGTAATCAATAACTAAACAATCGATAAGATACGAGTTGTGATAAGTCGATTCAATCAATAGCAAAAAGGCACCAGACTAGTCTCATATCATTCGTTATAATGTTGACTTGTTCTACGCGTTGATTATACCAAAACATACATAACAGTGTCGATATAAAATGGGTGATGTGCAAAAAGTGGAACCGTACAACATCGCAAAAACTCACTTCCCAAAACTACACGAAAGAATACAAAACAAATATAATGAAATGCAAAAAAAGATTGAGAAGTCTAAATCGATAGATATGTTAATGTGCATTGGTGATAATTTTATATACAAAGAACCTAAACGACATCTTAGCAGTAGTGATGTTAGAAATGAATTTCAAGATAACGATAGTAACATTGAACATGAAAAGCTAAGAACAGAAACGATGACTATCGAAAATAGTAAAGAAATTAGTGCATCATATGAAGATGTTAATTTTAAAGAATTTGTTGTCACTGAAATACAAAATAATGTAGTAAATGAGAAAATGGAAAGTGAAAATGAAGATAATCTGTCGGATAACATATTTCTCAGTGATATGAGTAATTTTTCAAAAACAAGCTTGGAATCGTAAGTAGTTTTGCGTATTGAATTAGAAGACATAATGCTTATTAGAGAATAATACCACTAACTACTTTTATAAATAAACTCGTTATAAAACCCATGAAAAAGTGCGTATGGAAAAAAATTGACAACTTAATATATCACAGAACTATTTCTCTGTTTTGAATTGTTTTTCCCAATTGTGTTCATTTGTTTATAGTCTACAAGACATAGGAAAAGATACTGATGAGTCAAGCCTGCCACCTACACCTACAACGAAGTCAATACGTCAAAAAATTGGCTTACGTATGACAGCTGTGAAAGAAAGACGTAACGCTTATAGGGAAAAGAAGAAAGAAGTCAGAGAAAAAGTAGAAAAGGTACAACTGTAACTACAATAAAATTAAAAGCTTTGTTTAATACGTAGAGTTAACGTTCATTTATCTAGGAACATGTTGAAAATAATTATATTATCGATTCGTGTAAAAGCAATCAATTATAATAAAAGCGTAAATTTAATATAGAATTGCTAGTAGTTCATGTAACATTAGACTTCACCTTAAGAACACCACGTAAAGTGAATATTTAACTATTTTAATTATAATTCATAATATTCATGTCAATTATAATTTTGCAGCTAATTTTAACAAACACGCCCAACGATCACTTTGATAGATTTCTGAAAAGAACTAAATATGCAACTACAACTGTTGCATTAATTGAAGCCACTGGTTTTGAAAGTGATGATGATAGATTACGCTTTGTAAGCTGTCGGTTAAGGTAAAACGATTTTAAAACTATAAATTTTAGTTAACATTATAAAAATAAGACAGAATTTCTCATGTTTGTTTAACGGTGATGTTTTTAATTGTAGGTTAGGTATGGAAAAACGTAAATCGAAAGTAATCAAAACGAATAAATCGGTAGTAAAATGGCAAGAGATCATAAACATAAGTACGTATGACGAAACATTATTGGAGATAACCCTTTGGGATAGAGACATTTTTGTGGGCAAGTAAGTTGTTAAAACTTTTAAAACTCGAAACGTATTTACTAAATTTATGTCTAAACTTTAATATGATAACTTTACTACAGGTCCATTGTGGATTTATCACTTTTGAAACACGAAAAAACACACAAAATGCGGATCAACCTAGAAGGTGACGGTCGTAATATAAAATTGTTCTTTCTAATAACAATAAGCGGAACAGTTCTGAATAACACAATCCTCGACCTTGACGATTACCAAAATATTCGGAATAAATTAAACATAGAACGCCAAAAATTTGTAAGTCTTAAAGAAAATAAAAATTATTATGACCCTTCACAAATTAATACGTTTAAGTCATAGAGTAATTTTAAGCTAAATGGAAATTGTACAGTAGAATATAACTTTGCTTACAGATTACTTCTCAATTCCAAAGTGCTTTAGATATTTATCGGACTAGAATTACAGAAACCACTAGGAATCTTCATCGTCCCCCCTACCTTATTCTACATTCGTAGGATCGGCGCACCGGGTTTTCACCCTCCAAACAACTTTTTCATCCGTCATCTCAGTCATCACTACCTTCTTGATTATGTCAACTTTCACGCAATCCATCCATCTTATCTCTACCGGTGTACCCCGCCACATTCATAACTAACGTCCTTCTTGTTACATACGATTCATCCCTCCTCATAATATGCCCATACCACGCTAACCTTTTACTCCTTAATTTCTCAACCACTGGGGTTACTCCCAAGCGTCCTGTAATATACTCATTTCGTGTCTTATCCAATCGTGTTAAAAATCACCAATAATATTAGCTAATTATCCTAATCAATTATTCTTATTTCATTTATTAATTTGCAGGCATGGCATCAAACGTGGAAAGACTTCAAAGACGTTGGCTGGCTATCGATAATTGTCTTCGGTGCTAAAGGTCTACCCACTACGGACTGTTCTTGTATATTAAAACTGGACAATGAATCTCTTTACACCCATACAGTTCACAAAACAAACGAGCCAAATTGGATGAAGATATTTACGTTGTAAATAATAATATTCAAGCCATTTAGAAATTCAATTATTTTATGGACAATGTTAAAGATTACAATTATTCTTGTTTCAGTACAGTGACTGACATAACATCAATTCTAGAAGTTATAGTATTTGATGAAAAGAGGTCAGAGTATGTCGGAAAGATTTCGGTACCTCTATTGAAAATAAATACAACGGATAAAAAATGGTATGCACTCAAAGGTATTAATCAAAAGGAGAAGGCTAAAGGAAATAATCCGAGAATACTTTTGGAGATGGGAATTACTTGGAATCTCGTAAGTAAACATTTAAAACATATTTTGTAATTTAAATGCAGCGTAACATGTGTCTATTTTTATAGATAAAAGCATCAGCTCGTGTCATCAATCCGAAAGAAGCCGATTTATTGGAAACTGAGGATAAATTAGATAGGCATATCTTCGCACGGAATATAGCACGGGCCAAAGCAATATATTCCTGGATAATGAGCACATTCCAAATATTCAAGTAAGAGTTTATTTGTACTCTAATTCCCTATTTCAATTAATCAGAAAAAAAAACATCCGTAGTAACCTTTTTTCTGTGTTTCTTTGATTGCCTCAAAGTTATTTGCGTTCGGTTCATTTTAACCTGTGATTTATTTTCTATTATTAATATGGAATATATTTTCAGGACAATGTTTGAATGGGAATCCAGACAAAGTAATATAATCGCTTTGATCGCTTGGTTAATTTTTTGTTGGATCTTCAAAATTTGGATGTTACCCCTTCTTCTTCTCATACCGTTCGCGTGGTACAAACCGTCAAAAAACCCCGTACTAAGCAGTAAGTTAACATTAACAAACATCATTGTTGGCGCCTACGTCACCTTCATCTGGATTCCTTATTATCGATTACGGACATCACTATTGCATCACACGGACACCGCTATTGGACAAAACCATTTACTTCACTTTCTTAAACTTTGTTATCTCGCGCTCAAGTTATTCTTATTCAAAGTACCGCAGTTTCCTTATGTCCACATAATACAAGGCAGAAACAATAATCTTACTCCGTAATAATGCAAAAGTTTAGACACACTTTGGATGCATGTTGCCGCGTAATTCCTGAACTATGAAGATCTGGATATTGTTATACGACCGCGTTTGTTTTTTATTTGACATGTAAGTGAGATAATTGTTAGACATATACTTATGAATCACAATTATTTAAATGCATATGAATCATCTTCCTCCAAATAGAAAATGTAATTGATTTATCTTATCTTAAACTGTACGCTAAGTCTAAGTTTAGTCATTAGATTATTAATTAAAAGGATGTTTTTTTCTATGTATAAATTTTATAGGCCTTTAGTCGTTAAATCTTCCTAATCCTACTCCTGTAGGGTCGGCGCAACAGGTTTTTGTCATCCAAATAACTATCATACGCTAGTCGTTAAGTATAGATTTTTAATTTTATTCTTATAAGTCAACAAAAAAATCTTCAGGGCAAGATAAAATATTTAATATTTCAGATATTTATTACATTTTTAATAAATTCCAGTCAGAAGAAGGTTTGAGCAAACTCCAATAGAAGGCGAAGAAATTCCAAAACAGGATAAGGTGATAATAACAATCTGTTAAAAATCCCTCGTATTCTTACTTTAATTTTGAAATGAGTAAATAAGTAGGAATTTTATTTTCAGGAAGAGAAAAATTTAACACTTCGACAGAAAATAAATTCCCTCCAAGATATGGTACAGACTGTACAAAACGTAATTGGAAAATTTGCCAGTCTCGGGGAGAGCGTTAAAAAGTAAAAACGAAATTTAATTAACACTTACGATCAGAGTGTCCTCGATGCGATTCAACTAAAGAGCGATTTTCTTTTTTCCAGCCTTTTCAATTTCTCTGTACCGTTCGTGAGTTGTTTGGCGATATTCTTAATATTATTTATAACATTGGTTATGTATTTGATACCACTTAAATACATACTTATGATTTGGGGTTAGTATACTCGCATTGTGACATCACAAAAAATAAAATTATCTTTTATATGTTTCTTAACTTTTACCTAAGTAATTTTAACCATCTTAACAAAAAGAGATTATTATTTCATCCGTTTTTTTTTAACAACGCAACATGACATGCACATTACCTCTATTTTATGCATATACAGAGTTTTGTAACACAGTATGGTTGTATTGTTTTTAGTTTTATTATTTATTGAAAATATTACATAAAAACAAATTAAAAATATGCACAAATACGGCCCCGCAAAAACCATATAATTGGTTTGTCCACGGGTGCGGTGGTGTCGTAGTGGATAGCTCTTTGATTATTCATCGTTTTTAAGAAATCATACCTTAAAAAACATTACATTTAATTGTAGGTCGTTATTATATTTTTTAAACAATGTGTAAATAATGTTCCTTTTAATATTTTTCAGGAATACATAAATTTACAAGGAAAATTTTAAAACCAAATAGAATACCAAACAATGAAATCTTAGACTTGCTTTCGAGAGTGCCTGACGATGAAACTTTGGTAAGAACAATCTAATATTATAAGAAAGTTTGGAAGTCTGAATGGTTGTTTTTATGAAGGGTGAAAGGATCTTCGTGGCATATGAGAAAGACAAAAAAATAGATGTAGAGCACATTCTGGAAGAACACACAAGCTCATCATCATTACCAGCTCACTATAGTTCCCCACAGAGGGGCTCGGAGTCTAACCTAATAAGGGGCGAGTATGCCATAGTCAACCACGCTGGCCCACTGCGGTTTGGTTGACTTCACACATATCATTGAATTTCTTCGCCAATATGTTGCAGGTTGCAACACGATGTTTACCTTCACGGTGAGAAAGTCGGGTAAATTAGGTACATATGAAAATTCAAAAAATCGAAAATCATAGTGGAACACGGCGGGATTCGAACCCAAAACCTGTAGGATACGAGTCAAGTGCTTAAACCACTGAGTACTGACACGCCAACGACATACAAGCGATTTTACTCTTTTTAAACTCCTCGCAGAATATCTTAACAGCTGCATTTCATAATTTTTCAACTTATTGTTCACTTATTTTTGATTACAGATGGACTGGGAACAATTTTCTTTGGAAACTCTGTCCGACGAAGATGAACAGTTGTAACGATCGAGATCTGAATAAATTAATATCATAATATATACCTTAAAGATTTTCACCTGCTTTTATATTTTGTAAAATATTATAACTAAGAATAAATGTAATGAAACTTTTATTTAATTCATAAATTCTGGATTTCAATTAATTCGTAAATTGAGATTGAGATTGAGTTTGACGTTTTAGTAAAACTGCATATGGTCCTGTATTCTATATGATTTTGTTAATGTAATATCTATGAAGAAATCTAACTCTTTGTAACTGTAATCGTTGATTTCCTTTACTATATAACCATATCGTATTCGTTTAATGTAGTTAAATTATTTAGCAACAATTCCGTTACAGGTAATCAATGCAATTACGAATTTCTCATATCATAAATCATAGTGCTGGTTGAATATAACATCAATGGTGTTAAGCAGCACATACATTATCCACTAAATCTCCTATTTAGTATGCAAACAGTACGCGTTTAACTAAATCACTAATCATCTGATAGCTAAGCAAATTACAGCTTTGCCTTTGTAGACTACGAAATTGCATCACAACTAGTTGCCTTAATAATAATTCGTGCAATTTCAAGTAATAAATGTACATCTTTATTATGTTACTAGCTTTTGCCCGTAACTCCGTCAGTTTAGAATTAACCAAACTGAAAGTAAGTAGCTTATGTGTTCTTCCATACTTTGCTCTACATCTATGCCATATTTCATCGAGTACTGTTTAGCAGTTTAGGCTACAAACTCTAACAAACATCGACGCATCCATCCATCTAAGCTTTCGCATTTATAACATTAGTTAGATTGATTATTTTCTTCACAAATTACATAAAACGAACCACTTATACTAAGATGCTATACTACGAGTACATTATTGAGTGTGTGAAAAAACGGAATCTCACCGAAGTATAAAATTGTTTCAAACCAATTGAGATACAACTTTCATTTTCTGAATACTCTGAAAGGTATTTTTAATTTCTACATCTCGCCAAAATTAGTAAGGCCATTGAAAAACATATCAACTGTTCCAAAAAAACAACCACGTCGTCCTTAACCCTACATTAAATAAAATTAAAAATAGCTTTTATTTAACTTTATTTATAAATATAATTACTAACATTCACTACAATATCGATTTAATGTAATACAGCTATATCGTAAATTAAATCACAGATTACATGGTCAAATGTTTTGTACATAATTATCTAATAAAATGTTGTCAAATAAATTAATTTTAATTTGAATCTATACAACAATATCCGATCCGAGCCTTTCGAATTCATTAGCAAAATAGACCATATCTTTGTGATCTAGAGCTGAATTTTGAAAGACAATACGGAAAAAGTTAACGAGGTTGCCTTGCGGCTGATACGTGACCATCATACTTCCTTCTTTTATCATTCGTTCCTTAATATTGGGGGCGACCTTATGGAGCCTTTCTTTGTAATTTGAATCATTCTCGCAACCTCGTAGACATTTTGGCACATACCAAAACATAATATTAGTGCATTCGGGGTTCTCGAGTACGAGTTTGAAGCCAGCTCTTTGTTTGATGTGCTCCAAGAAATATTTAGCGTTATCGAATAGTTTGTCAATATGCTTCTCGAAACCGTCGCTACCTTTTGCTTTCCACATGAACCAAAATTTGAGGACATCAGCGCGTCGACCGCACTGGATGTGTTTGTCACCAGTATCGTACGACGTGTCGTAGAATTTATCCTTCTGGAAGAGATACTTCGCGTTGGATGAATGGCCTTCCTTTAAGACATTTTTGTGTTTCACCAGGAATGTTGAACATTGCTGCGGAGCTGCGAGCAGCTTGTGAGGATTCCATGTAACGGAGTCGGCTCTGAAAGTACATACAAAAGTTCTTAACAAATTTACTTTAGTTTTATATACAGTGTACTTTGATTTGTGACGTTAGAAGTTAACGACTGACACTGTCTCTACCTTCAACACTAACCTTAGTCAAGCTAATGACCGCCAGTTACTCGCACTGAACAAAGATTGCGTAAACTCGCGAACGCACCGCTATTCGCTCCAATGTTTTTTATTAGCACTCAAGGATGTGTTTCGCAATACAATATAACAGTTTATTATGATATAATAATAGCTAATAATAAAGCATTTAGGCAACTACATACTGAAGTCAAAATTTTTATTATCATTTATGAAAACAGGAAATTCAAATTGAAATTTTTGGTAATAAGGATAGTAGGCAAGTTAATTCTTTTTACCAAATTTCTTCCTTTGGTTGTTATTTCTAATAATTCTTGCTTTATAAAGTTAGTTAAGTCTAAATTTACTAAAAGCTGAACTTATTCGATGATGCCGGTGTGATTTTGTTAAAACATTTATGTGCATAAAATCTCAAAATTAAAAAAAGGTTACTGCTACGAACTTTGGGAACGATGACTCTATAATTAATAATAATAATAATAATATTTATTTATTACAGATAAAGATCCAATATTATGTTAGTATGTACATTTTTAATGGAATAATTAATCTATATATTGCGCCATATCTTTTACATATTTCTTAACCTTAATTATCATAGCCAATTTTTAGTTCCTTCTTTCAACGAATGTATGTTGTACTAACTTCTAAGAATTTTATTTTTAATTTTTAATTGTACTTACATCTCTATTCCGTTAAGAAGATGTCTATGTTTCTTCGACATCAAAGCGCCGCCGCCCCAAGCCGCGTCAACATGTAGCCACAGATTATACTTCTTGCATAGACCAGATATCGGTAACAACGGATCAAAAGCCCCAAAAACAGTAGTACCCGCAGTCGCAGTTACCATAAAAGGAGTAGATCCCGCATTTATTGCTTCAGAAATCTTGATTTCCAAATCCTTAACATCCATTTTACCCAAATCGTCTGTTTTTATCATGATACAATTGTCGCTACCGATTCCCATGAAGGAAGCCATTTTTTTAGTCGAATAATGTGCTAGTTCCGACGTAAAGAGTACTAACTTCGGTACAGCATACACTCCTTTAGTCTGTTGATAAGAAAATACTAGTTAGATATTACGATATTCAGAAATAAATTTTTGATTTGCTTTCATCGTTCCACGAAATTCTAATAAAGACTGCATTGCCTTTACAAGAACCAAATTAAAAACAGTTTTTATTTTTGATGCTTCGGACTCTAAAAGCAACTCGTTTTCATTCCGTCCATCAACACCTGTACGCAAACTGTGTGAAATATACAAAATGGTAGTACAATTCTCTCATACAATAAATACTGAAGATTTTTTTTAACACGAATAAAGTAAAAACATGTTCGTAAAAACGTTTGAAACGAGTGTAACGAAAAAATAAAAACGAAAGTGGTAAAAATAAAAATGTGCGAGTAAAGAAAACAAATGCTCGATTTGTAATTTCATAGAAACGCGAATTCTGCGTTTTACAACTTTTTTTTTATTCAACAATTGCTTAAACAAATACATATTCGCTGATGGACGTCTGTTATTTTTAACCAACTTCAAATACGAGGATCTAAATTCATTTTTATGCGTTTTGTAAAAAGTAGATTGGTTATATTTGCATCTCTATTTTAAATTAACAAATTCGATCCAAAAACACAGTCTACATTCATTAAAAACCATTTCAATTTATAATTATATGTATGTCTTTGTAGAAAACCTAATTTATAAAATCAAATAAGAATCAAATTTACTCTCTTAAGATACTGTATCAATTATTTAAAGATTCAACATTTAAATATGTTATTACAAACACAAACGATTTACGTTATGTTTATCTCGTAATTCTGCGGAAATCTCCACGATCAGAACAAATCGAAGCCAATCTAAGGACGTTCTTATAAATTTCAAGTTTACTAGTATATAACATTCATGTGTCGAGGCCCCGTCGGTATACTGCACGCGAAATATTCAGAATCATTAAATAAACGAGGTTAAGGTGACCACCAAACTTCCTACATAACTAGATTTGATGCCTTATATTTCTACTACGAGTGTAATACTATTGTAAACAAACAAATGTAAGTATTATTTATAAGTAACTAGCTGTTCGCGTGCGACTTCACCCGTATGGAATTATTAAAACTTTATTTTATTGTTTACATTTGTGATATTCTCAATTGCAAATGACTAAATACCAATTACGATACTATGGCAATCTTGCTTCCTTAATGTTGGCAGCAACTTATGGTCTTTTTCCCACATTAGGTGTTTTGATCCAAAATATTTACCCCCTAAGTTTAATGGCGTAAAAATATATAGCCTAGAGCGTGACGTGACAATAAAGACATGTGTGTTTGACAGACAAAAGTGAAAATTTAAAATTATAGTATATCACCAACATAGAATCCCAAATTACAAACGTAAAAAAAATGTTTATTCTCAAAAAAGTCAAAAAACGAAACTAAACGGCTTTCAAGTATTTCATAACAGTATATATATTCGGCGGCCATAATTCGGTTATTTTTAGAATAACTTTTACGAAAGAAAAATTTGCAAAATAAAGTTACGTAACGACACATTGTAAACTTCTGTTCTCAGTGTTCCGATTAAATTGAAATCTATCCTCTCTGCAGTAATGCCATGATTACTTGGTATTCCCTAGGCACATGACACATGATAGCTTTAATAGACTAAAATTCCCACTACGTTCAGGAATTCCCCTCATCTCTAGCTCTTGTGATGACTAGCACTATGTATATGACATGTTATTCTATGTAATTATTTTAGACGTCTCAATTTTCAACTCCCTACCACTCACACAGTAGTTCAATTGACATTCTGAATTCGAGTAGATTTTTTATAGAAATAAGCAAGCGACCACCTGAATTGACATCGGCAAAATCCGCATTGTCTACCTTTAATTGTCGAAGATTATATCCCCCTTATTATACCTCCTCACCTCTGTCAGCTTCACTTCGTCTTACGATCCTCTTTATTTTAATGAAGACAAAAACTAGGCCTTAGGAGTTATATTTCACCAAGCGAGCATGTCCATTCTTCCATAAATGGTCGTTGCTGGCCACCACTATTAACATAATATTATTTACTCTCATTCGCTCAATCATAGAATACTAACCTTGACATCTGGATAAAAATGATGTCTGGCGCAGCTGATCGCATAACCATTGGATATCGATCCTCCAGGACAGAATATACCGTCGCCATCACCATCCTTCCACCCAACGATAGCCCTCATTTCCCTCAGGACTTCTTCCTCCATTAAAGTGAACACAGGAGCCACTTCGTAAGTATAAACGCTCGGGTTCAAAGCATCAGTCAACCATTGTCCAATCAGACCGTACGGGTCCACCGTAGAGAACAACTGGTTCACGAAGTAAGGATGACCAGTATTGACAGAGTAACGTGCGACCTTGAAAAAAAATAGTAATTTATACAACAAAATAAGCTGGAATTTTAAAAGAACTCCACAATACGTAATAATTAGGCAACTATCATAAAAGATTAATTTTTATCAATCCAATGCACACCAAGAAGTATCCTTGCATCGTTTCAGTAGCTTTGTTATAATTTGTCATAAAAATAAGCACTACGTTATAAAATTATTAAACCACAAAGGATTAATTTTAAACTTCGCAATAAAACAACTTATCGCATGATGATCATATAAGGACTTCCGTTAGTTATAACTGATTACATTGGCATCTCAATATTATCTTATTAATATCTAACAACCTTATAAAAACCAACAACTTAATTTAAAATTAATTGAATACAGCTATTTTATTTAACTATAACAAAAGATTACTAGAAAACAAATGCTTCATACAAATAAAATACCTTTTGCGAATTTCCATCAAATAAAGCAAAACTATAGCAACTAATTACACTTTTTACTAAGAACCTTACTCAATTAATTAAATTGGCACAAGAAAATAGCACCAAAATGATTTTTTCATACAATTTTAAGAATTACACTATACTTTTTTATGGTAACTGGTATACATAACTGAGGGTTTCCACTGCAATGGAATTTGTTTGAAATATATTGACATCCTACAAAATTATGTCAAAACAATTCAAGGTAGTCGAAAACCATATTTACAAACACGGAAAAATAGATTAAAGACAGGAAACTACAAACTGGAAATTCACGTATACAAATTGTTCCGAACTCGGAACAAACGAGATAGATCGTAGGAATGTTTTAGTAACTAGGAAGTGAGTTGACCAAATTGAAATGGAGGATTTATTACGAATATTCGTGAGATCGTTTCCGTAACGTTTTCGACGAGTTTATTACTTTTGTGCATCGTGATAAAAATTTTGTCAACGTGACGTGTGATTTTGCGAAGTTTTTCTCATAATTGTCAAGGACATATTCATGATAGGCCCTCAGATCAGCACCCTTGTATCAAGGAACGCACCCAAAAATATTGCGTTTAAATTTCAAACAAAACATGTTTCATAATAATAAGTACTAACTAATTTTTTAGATATTTTATTGGTTCATATAATTCCTAGCAATTTAATTTCAAAATTGGGATAAACGTTTTATAGATCTTTTAAGTGGTTTATATTTAGAAATAATACAACGTTTATTTAGCTACTCGTGATCTGCGCCACCCGGAGTGAATTAAATTAAATCCGTTACTGCTGGATGTTTCATAAAATAAAAATGTATTAATTATTATAACTGATAGAGCTAATATACATGAAATAAAAATACTCACATCAGCCATGATGGCTAAAAGTTCATCATGTGATATAGGCCCTTCCCTTGGCTTCAAATCAATAACGCTTCTTATTTCATTCGGAGCTGCCCATTCCACCACCTTAGCCGATCTCTGAGATCTTCCGAACACCACTCTCTCGACCAACAAATCAACAGCCCTTCGTATAAATTCCTCATGTTTCGATCTCTCTGGGAGACTTTGAAACAGGCTTTCTTCAATCGCTTCCCCCGCTACTATAACATTAGAATCGGCAGGCATATTTATATTTTCTTTAGTATTTATAAATGGTTTTAACTAGATATTTAGTTCAACTTGCAATAGTTGGAAGATTAATTGATGCTTGCGGTCGGCCGCAGCCATCAGCGTTACGGTTTTGGCCCCACTCTGAAAGCGTAGCCTTCTTAAATACTCCGCACGACGTCAGTTCACTTTGTTAAGGTTACAACTTGGAGCGCATTATGGATGCAGATTTAACAATGTATAGATATGTTCATTTGTTTATAAAAATTAACAAAACATTTTACCTTTAGTTGCAGGTCTTCTCTATTCTTCTTTGCTCCTTTCTTAATAGAGTCGGTGAATTCAAATTTCCCTCTCATCTTAAAGTTATGACAAATGTTTTGAAGATATTGAAGGCATGCAGGAATTTTATTTATATTTAGTCATACTTAAAAAAATAACATCAATGTGAATTCTGCACGAAAAAACATTCAATAATCTAATGTACATAAGTTAATTAGTAAGAATGGTAAAAAAAAAAGTCTATACCTACTTACGTTTCCGAAAGAAAAGTCTATCATTTCCTTGTATAACCTCTTTTTGTACGAATACGTCATATTTATTATAGTTTATCAAGGGTAATCTTAAAACTTAACCACTTATTAGTCTATGTACTCAGGAACGAACTTAAAATTAACTGACGCTTAGTGCACTTACATTCTACGTGTATACGATGGAGCTACAGGATTTTAAAGATTAAATTAATTTTTAACAGAGTTCATGTCTTTTGATATCGTCTCTTTATAGTTATAAAGCGGCAAAAATACAATATTTGTAAGTAAGAAACATTTTACAGATTCAAATAAAATACATCTTTTCACTTTATACAGCTCTTTTCTTTTGGAGCTAATCTAAAAGTAGATTCAAAAGGAATAATGATATAAAATAAAATAGTATTAACTTAATCTATTATAATGTCATGAGTTAGTTAAACTCCACATTTAGTCTCAAATTCAATACTTCAACAGACCTATGTGCCTTATGCAAAATAATATTTTGATGATCAGTCGTATGTCGAACTAATCCACTTAGAACGGAACGCTTCATAACAATGTATACCCGATATATCCTCTCTTCTCTTATGATAGGTATAATTTTGTCCCCTAGACCTATTACCTCAATGATCACTTTATCTTGAACAAATTTGTACCTTGGAAATTCTTAAAAACAACGACTAAGAAACTATAATTATGCCCGCAAATATCGACCTTTTTATATCGTTGATATCCTTTTAGTATGTTAGGTAAAAGCAGATCTAAATAAAAAGCACCTTAGCATATAAACCAGTATGTCTCCAGTTCACTTTTAGTACAAATTTTACATAGTTTTCTTTATTTAGTTAAATATTGAAAACATAATTAAATTGTTTATTTTTTTACATCTGTACAATCAACTGAAACGAAATACATTTCCTATCGCCTTGACACTTAGTTTTTCGGTAATTATAGACATTATTCCCGCTAAGGAGTGATTTTTTTACATAACCAATCAACTGCGAAAAACAATGACAGTTTGTTGTTGATTAGTTACAGCTGTGGATCACGATTTTAAGACGAATTCACAATTTTTATCATTAATGTTTGTAAAATAGTAGTAGATTAAGTTTGTAGCCTAAACGGCTAAACGGATCTCTATGAAATTTGGCATGAATGTAGATGATAGTCCGGAAGAACACGTAGGCTACTTATTTTTGTTTTTTTGAATTCTACGCAGACGGAATCGCGAGCAAAAGCTAGCTAAACTACAAGAAGAGTCAAAAGTCAGTTGTACAGAAAGTTATTGTCGATAGAATCATTTCAATTTTAATTTCTTGTAAATTGCACTCTGTTTACTGAATTTTGTGTGTAAAAAAATATTCTGTTTTGTCACTAACATAATTTAAGAAACTTACTAACAATTTTATAAGCTGATTTTACGCTTGAAATCAAAGTTATTATTGTTATTATATTATTAAATAACATTTTTTTCTCATAATAATCAACGTGATTTTAATTAGTATGCCAACAGTCAATAAGTAATTTGAACGTAATTTATTCATTTCAACAACCTGTTTTTATAAATCCATATAAAGATCTTCATAACCAACACTTAGGTATCCTTAAAGAGTAAAAAGTATTTAAACAATAGGTGCAATTAGATGTTAAAGATTGCGTTTGATCAAAAACCATCTTATACTCGTAGGTTTCCAAGAACAAAAGAAATCAGTCATAGTTAATTGCTAAAAAAACTGACCCACAAACTAAATAATATTTAATTAACCAAAGACAACTATGGTGTTCTTTTTAATGCAATGAAAAACAAATGAAAATTAACCGTTTAACATTTTTTATTCATTTTTTTTCTTTAAAATGTTGCCATTGCGCAATATAATAATAAATAAAATTTATTGGTACGCGCTAAATATTGAACAATTAGATTCGTTAATTACAATTTTAATTGAACTTTAACTTGCTAACAATTTTTTTTTAGCAAGTTTTGTCCAAGTGTTTCGGCCGCATTCTATGAGCCAAGAAGTCGTCCAAGATAGATAGATGCTATCATGACGATCTTTGCATCTTTTCTCCTATTTGTCCCATAAAGAGGAATTAATGCAAAAAGTCACTCAAGGTGAATGGATTAGAGACATTACTGTAAAGTAAAACGTCTGGCCTTGGCTATCACAAATTTTTATCGAAGTTGATATTTTATCAAGTCATTGTACAGTGACTGAGAAAACTTTATCCCCGTGTACAAGGAAATATGCAACTGCAAGAATAATGTAGCAAAAAAGATATACGCCTGTGATTTCCCTAACACCAAGTCATTAGTCGGAATGCCAGTAGTTTAGGTGCATTACTTTGTTCAATTACTCCATGACTAACACACTATAACTTCAATCATAGCTGTTAATAAATGCATACCCGTTTTCCCGTAATGCTTCTGCAACTGAATTGTAAAAAAAAAACTGACTTGGTAACTGAACGATTATTTTTTTAATATAATTTTTGTTAATACATTACAACAAATTTTACAATTACAGTAAGAATAAACTTGGCCATTTTCTGTTTTATAGCCGAATTTAAAAGGAGGTTTAAATTTCGTTTTTGTTTTTTTTAATGTAAAGTGGCCAGCGTCATGTGTTATGAAACAAATCAATTATAACAGACAGGATCTCTACATAATGGTCTGAAATCTTATTAGTGGGTAGTTGTTCAATTGACATTGAATTGTTTGATTGCTCAATTAAGCGCCCCCTTTAATTTCTCATATTTATTTCATTAACAAACAGTACAGGGGCTTTAACGACTTTGCGTTTTAAAACAATTCGCATTTAATCCTTAATTAGCAATTTTGCAGAAGAAATCGTTAGATATTTCCACTAACGACTTCCTTTACAATATAGACGGACGGCCATATTAACAATACTTGTAAATTACTTTAAAACACACAAACTGAACTCCAATGCGACAACGCAAATACTCGTATATCGAACGTTCCGTTGTGACGACTAGTAAAACACAAGCTTGTTGGCGACTGAGCGCCGCCGTGTCTGCAACTGAGCCCGAGCCACTCCTTGTTATATATTTTATAAAACTACCCCCACTATTCCTTCCGTTTCCTAATATTTTCCTAACTATATTGTTGTTTTAAATAAAGGTAAATGTATTGATAAATAGCTCAGATTAACAAACAACTTTTAAGAATAGAGTCATCAAAAATAGTTAAAAAGCTAACAACTCGGCCTTCCTGCAAAGAGCGAGTCCCTTCACTTGAAGTTTTTAAATACTTCTTTCACACCCCTAACGTATTTCAGTAAATCAATTTTACTTACAGCTTTGTCTTCGATACCTCACCAAAAGCAATCGACCGTTTATCAAAGCCTTCTCGAAGTAATAATGTAAAGATAGCAGAATCTTCTCAATTCTTGATACCACCGTGTTGTTTTGCTTTTATGTCTTGTATGATATTATTCCGGTCTTAATTCTCGATTCTCCATCCCCCTCACAATTGATCGGACGTAATTCTCGACCCTCGTTCTCATACCTCAGCAAACGTAAATCTCGGTCCTGGTTCTAACACCTGAGCAAACGTAAATCTTGGTCCTCGTTCTTACACTTGAGTAAACGTAAATATCGGTCCTCGTCCTTACATCTAAGCGATCGCCGCTCTCGACTGCCGCTCTCATATATGAGTGCACGTCGGCCTCTTTCATTGCTCTCAAACCTGAGCTCACATTGGTCTTTGTATTCGCTCTCACACCTGTGCGGGCGCTGATCTCTAGCTTGAGATCATTATCTTTACCTTGACCTTCAACACTTGAGCACACTTTGTGCACTCTCACTTGCACACTCTCCAAAATTACCGTTCTCACTTTCCAGACAACAAAAGTAAAAATTGGTAATTTTCAATCAAAAATTACCCAAGAGACAAAAGAAATCGTATCGTGCCATTAACTATACTGGACTATATAATAGTATGAATGATGCAAAAAAAATAAGCATCCAAAATTACACAAACCTATAAGAAACGATAAAACTAAATATTACAAAAAATACTACACAAAAAGTCAAAGTATTAAATCTACCTCAAAAGGATTGGATAAATCGAACTATTATTGAAGGCATAAACTTACGCAATAAGCTGTGGAAAAAGTTAAGAGCGAACCCTTCGAATAACTACTAGGAGTCTATACCTAAAACAAAAGAATTATGTGTCTAATACTATAAAAAACTCAAAGTGCAGTTACTATTCAAATCTATTTAATGACAGCAAGAAGAATCCCAAGAAAATGTGGAAAGTTAGCCTTAAACAAACACAAAGATAACTGCACTCCACATAAATTAACTGTAGATTCAACCAGTATTGTGGTTGGAACAGATATCTGTGAGTCTTTTAATAATTTTTTTCTCTAGTATTGGTACTCGATTAGCTAATGAAATATGTAAAAAATATCATAACTATCCTATAAATGTGTATTCTACCTATTACAAGAAATAAATCAGGATCTTAAACTGATCCAAGTAATTATCGACCTATTTCAGTATTACCAGTAGTTTCCAAAATTTTTGAAAAGGTTATATATCCACGACTTAATGGATATTTAACATCTTTAAACTTTTTCACTCAACATCAATACGGTTTCAGATCTAAATCAAATACTCTAACGGCAACAATTGATCTTGTAACTAAAATTAAAGAAAACATAGATAAAAAACATTTATTGACCTAAAAAAGGCTTTCGATACTGTAAGCCATAGTGTCCTGTTACAAAAGCTGAATGATAGGCATCACTGAAAGAGCATACAAAACTTTACAATTTTACCTCACAAATCGCAAACAAATAGTTAAAATTAATGAGTACCACAGTAAGCGGAGTGAAATTACCTGTGGTATTCCGCAGGGCTCAATCATCGGTCCCCTTTTACTCTTAATATATATAAATAATAAAACTAAGCTAGGACTTACAGGATACATCACACTCTATGCAGATGATACTTGGCTTTTTTATTTTGGTCATTCCATTCACGATATTATTGCTCAGGCTCAAAGCGATTTAAATATTTTACACGAGTGGCTAAAGTATAACTTACTTACAATTAATATTTCTAAAACTCCCTACATGATTTTTTCAGCTAAAAACAAAAAAATACCAAACCATGCTCCTTTACTAATCAATAATAGAATTATAAATCAATCTAGCACTGAAAAATATCTTGGCCTACATTTAGATAGAAAACTAACTTGGAAAACACATTAATAACATACGCACAAAAATAAGCAGCTTGATTGGAGTTCTGCGAAGAGTAAACAACTGCATTCCACCTCAGATTCGACACATTGTCTATAATTTATTAGTCAAACCGCATTTAGAATACTTAATAGAGGTATGGGGTTCTGCTTCAAAAACAACCTTGCATACCATACAAAGGACACAAAATAAACTTATTAAACTATTGTTTCGAATTAACTACCTTACACCAACGTCTGAAATGTATGAAAAAACTAATATCTTTAACATAACACAACTTTACACATACAAAACCTGCATACTTATAAAAAAAAATTAACAAATGAAACAAATTCAAAAATAGTACACCTAGAACAAACTATGGTCAAAACACTAACATTTGCGGGAGTACAGTTATATAATACTTTACCTAAAGTTATCAGAGACTAAAATAAAATGTCGTTATTTAAAATTAAATTTAAAAAAATTGTAAAAAAAATAAAATCCTAATATAAATGATAACAAACTAGAGTACTGATGTAAATTGTAAATGTAAAAAAAAAATGTTTCTCGTTAAGTGAATTGTATATTCTTAGAGAAATAAACATCTTAAACCACAACTACGAAATATATGTACTCATACCAACCATGAAAACATTACTTTAACTCAAATGTACAACACCTCATTTATGTACTTTTATTAAGTGCGCATCAAGCTCAAACATCAATCTCTGATACACTTGTTGTTCATTAACACAAATAGACAATAACAATTAACAAGCAAAATATACACTTGTAATCCCAATATTGTTCTTGAATATAAGGATAATAAAGTAAATCTCTTATACTTGTGATAGATTCATGTATCACAAATAATTAGTCATAAATAAAAGTGGTCTACTTTTTTCTCATTATGAACACCATCGTTAAATCTCGTTGTTCTTAAACCACTCGCTTAAAACAAATTGTGATAGCACCTTAGATCATTTAGTTATGCATGGTTTTGTATCTTGGGGAAAAAATCCCACTATCATTGCTTTTAGATTATTTACAACCAGACTTATTAAAAATGGTGTTAAAGATCATGGTCTACTTACGTGAACTCTCGGCCACTCCTTGCTTATTGCCGTATATTTTATAAAACTACCCCCCACTATTACTTCCGTTTTCTAATGTTGTTGTTTTAAATAAAGATAAATGTATTAATAAATAGCACAGATTAACAAATAACTTTTAAGAAAACAGAATACATCAAAAATATTTAAAAAGCAAACAAAATAATGTAGCTTTCACGTATATTTATTTATCCATGGGACTAAACGAAATAAATTTGATTTTACTGGTCTTTGTCTCGAAATCATATATCATTTTCAGAACACCCAAAAATACTTTGAAAACAAAAAGTTTGTAAAGTTCGGAAGTTTTTTCAGGCGCGACAATCAATTGGAATATTAAAAAAATACAAGCTTATCTAATAAATTCTTTGTATATTGTATTATCATATTCTTTTAGGTCAATAATTTTACAATAATCAGTAAAAAAAAACTAATCACCTTCTATGATTTTGCAATTCGCAACGTATCATAGTAATTATCAACCGTAACCCTGACATTCTTGACCCAGATTCGCATAATTATTTTCTTTTAAACAAAATTCTGGGACTTTGACTGAACTAGCACTATTTCTATGTTTTTCTATTATTCATTTATGTGTTAGAATAACTTTGTCCCAGTTCTTCATTTATATTGCAACATTTGTAATTAAATCAAATGCGATCGTACCAAACGAGAAGACACTGGTTTACAAAAAAAATTAGTAAGTAAGTTTTGTAAGCCTACAAAGGCCTGCTTTTATTTATTAACTGGAAAGTAATTAATAAGCTTTTCTTTCACCTCATTTAGCACTTTTATCGAACATCAAAAATAAAAATGTCTCATTTTAATTATTTCTTTAATTCTGAATTAGTATAGAAATGGCGAAGAACATTTCATATCGCACGCTTTATATTTTCCATAAAACCTATTAGAACATATGTTTTTATTTAATTGTTCAAATACAAAGTAGTTATTGCCGATAAATTCAGCGTGACAATCAAGTGTCAGTTGTCAACGTCAGTCAAATCAAATGTCAAAGTCGAAATAGAAGAATTTCGATTTTGTTCTTCGTGTTTTATACCACATGTGTTAATTAAAATTTTATGAGATTTTTAAATAAAAGCTTTTAAAAACATGGAAGTAGAAGGTCAATTTAGTGACTATGAAGAAGATTTGTCAGTTAAAGTTAAATCAGTTCGTGTAAGTGTTAATATCTCCTTAATGTTAACTATCTCTTGACTGTTTTTGAAAGCATAAGTTTTTACTGTAACAAACAACATGCTTCATTACAGAGACTAAAACTGCTTTAAGAGTGGCTAATAAAATTATCAGTTATATCTACAACGGTGTAAAAACTTTAAAATTAAGCTTAAGTTTAAAAATGTAAAAAAGAGATAAGGATTATTCTAAATATTTTTTCAATATAAACGTTGTATTTCTAACATTATGTTCAAGTCAATGAACTATTACTTCATCTTATTTTCAATCTATAATAGGAAATGTTTATTATTTTCAGTTTGCCGAGCTACCAGTAATCCATAAGGACCAAAGTGATGATGATGACGATGATTTAGATTCAGATGATTATTTCTACGACTCTGATGATCCAACGCAAGGTAACAAAAAAAAGGAACATGTAAATCCACAAGCGCCATCACATAAAATCATCACATACCAACCGAGTGAGAAGTTATTTAAGAAATATGTAAATAAAATAAATGTTAATAAATATGAACCAAATATCTTTGATAATGCACAGAAGTTTATGGATTTAAATGATAGGAAAGTTGATAATGAGAGAATAAGAGTGAAAGACAAACATGATAGAGCCACAGCGGAACAGGTTATGGATCCTCGTACAAAAATGATCCTATTCAAACTACTCAATCGTGGTATTATAAATGAAATAAATGGTTGTATATCCACTGGTAAGGAAGCAAATGTATATCATGCAACATCAAAAGATGGTAAAGATTATGCAGTGAAAATTTATAAAACATCAATTTTAGTATTTAAAGACAGAGATAAATATGTATCAGGTGAATACCGTTTCAGAAATGGTTATTGTAGATCTAATCCTCGCAAAATGGTTAGGACTTGGGCTGAGAAAGAAATGAGGAATCTTGTTAGAATGTACAATGCCCAGTTAAATGTGCCCGAGCCAATAATATTACGTAGTCATGTATTGGTGATGACATTTATGGGTGAGAAGGGCTGGCCCTCACCGAAACTGAAGGATGTAGAAATATCACAGTCCACTGCAAGATCTTTATACAGAGATTGTATTACGATGATGTGGAAAATGTTTAATATTTGCAAATTGGTGCATGCCGATCTGTCTGAATATAATTTACTATACCATAATGGGAATATTGTGGTTATTGATGTATCACAATCTGTAGAGCATGACCATCCTCATGCTTTTGAATTTTTACGCAAAGATTGTACAAACATATCAGATTTCTTTAGAAAGAGAGGTGTTGCTACGTTAACAGTTAAAGAACTGTTCGACTTTATAACTGATGCCTCAATAAACGAAAATAATTTAGAAGAATGTTTGGAGAAACTGTCAGATAAAGCTGCTTCAAGAAATTTTGACGAAATGACTGCACAAGAGCAAGTGGAAGAGGAAGCTTTTAAAAATGTCTACATTCCTAAAAGGCTTACTGAGGTAAAATGTTATACAATTATTACAAACTTTCTTGTTTAGGCATTGAAAATCAAATTTTAAGATTCAATTTGGTTAATTTCTTGTAAATTACAATGAACACAGATTGCACTAGTTCAATTGATTTTTCTAATTTGTATTTTTGGATTCCTGTATGTATTGAAACAACTCAAAAACTGGTCTGATTTAAATAATTCTTGCACCTTATGGTGCTTCTTATCTTTATAGATATATGATATCAGTGAGTAATATAGTCTATGTTTTTATTATTTCTTTTAATTCCAAGCAGATGAAGTCGTGAGCAACAGCTAGTATTGAATGTTTATAAAACGAACGAATTTCTGTAATGTCTAGGTAATAAATTTCGAGCGCGATATCAGCAAGGCTAAGAAAGGAGAGACAGATGACCTAATATATAAGAAAATAGCCGGATTCAACGAAGACCTTACAGGAACTGTGGATAAACCTGAAATATTGCAAGAAGATGATGTAAATGATGATGACTCCGAGTCTGGGTCAGAAGATACCTCTGGTGATGATGATGATAAAAGTAAGGCTATAGTTTTAATTTCAGAATATTATATGAGAATTGTAGTGTTACAGACTGTATTTCGATCTGTACCACAAATTTTAGACTACTAAATTTACTATTTATATTTGAATTGCAGAAAAATATAGCAACTCATTTCTTTGTGTGCTTGTAAGAGGTGTAAAAAAACGCACTTGAGGTGACACCAAGATAGGATTTCTACTTAGTCAATTTATAAGCCTTATTTCCACAGAGGATTTATAAAGCTTTACTTTTTAAAATCCTATATTTATCTATTATTAATTGATGCTTTAAATGTTTATTAATTTCAGAGGGCAAATTTAAAAATAGTGCTCGTCCGAAGGATGAGTCCTTGGAAAGTAAAAAAGCTAGAAAAAAGGCTGTCAAAGAAGAGAAAGCTGAAAGAAGGAAAACGAAAACAAAGAAACACATTAAAAAGAGACGAGACAAGGGGACCGGCAGAAAGTAAAGTTGATATTTAATAAATAAGTTTATAAGATTGTTTAATGAAATAAAATACTTCAATAATATTGTGGTTTTTATTACAAAAAGTACGAAAGAAAGTTTACCATCTCTTGACTACATAACAGAACTAAAAAATTACTGTCTGCTTTTATAATTATTGTTATAAAGAGTAATTTTATCCTGGATTAAAAAAAAAAAACCTTAAAGACTAGATCGTCTTAACAAAATGTTATCCCTTACATTTTTATTATATCACCATGAAATCATTTATTCCTATGTCATGTTAAAATCAAGAAATAATTAAAAATTAGTACCTAATGTGTAAAGAAATTAATTAAATATATCTTAAAATTATACACCTCATTATAATAATTTATGGATAAATATTTTTTTTATACTTTAAAGCCGAATTATTACCCGACAGATCGATTCAGGTACGTTGGTAGTTACTGTTTCAGACAAAAATATCTATGACTAAAAGCATCGCCAGCCAATGCTCAAAAGGCTAATAGTAAAAAATGTATTCTTTTATTTCAAAACGTTTTTTTTTTGATATAATGAATTATTTGAGTTAGCCGTAATGCTTACTTTTGCAATGGTTTAAATACGGAGATTACAAATTGCATATCTAAAAAATATATATTACTACTCATAAATTGTTCACATTACAAAATCCGAGTGAAATACAAAGGTTGTTCAATATTCTGAAGTTTGATTAGCATTTAACAATAATGAAAAAAAAGTCTTCCAAACCTATTGTTTAATAGTTGGTTGTTATTTAAAATCAGTCACTAGTCTCAAAGCCTACGTCTTTGGCTAAAACTAGCCCTTAGCTAAAACCCGTCCAATTTTAGAAATTCGATAAGGGTACGCTACATTAAGAACCCTAAATCGTATTGGTTTAGAAATACCTATATTTAGAGTTAAAGATTTAAGAGTCTTAATTTATCACATCAGTTTGTACTGGTTTTAAAAAGCTATATTTAAAAATTACAATCATGTTGCAAATCGCCATTTTAAACCGAAGAAGCATAATAACCTAAAAATCACCATTATCAGAATTATTAAGCTCATTTCAAACCAGACTGATGTTTTCTCTATATCTAGATATTTTAATAGGACGTCGGGTTTCGCGAAGTGACAATACATGTCTTTGCATTCTAGTGGTGTTCTGCCGAAGCCGAATATTGTGAGGACCATGGCGACAACGCCGCACCTGATGAAGGAGGTCTTCATGAGGATGTTCATCAGCAGAGGGATGCGATGAGCGAAGTCGAAGCCGTAGATAGCCAGACCAAGGAAGGGAGCTATCGCCGTTGGTCCGATAGCACAGCCATTCTGAAAAATGACGTAGTCAAAATTTTAGATATTGAAATAGCTTAGTTATCACTTATGTAATATCTTTAATCCAAAGAAAGTATGAGTTTACGTCAAACGCAGCTATTAAACATATTAAGAGCGTTCAATCGGTTCGGTTGATTCAAAGAATGCCCTTTTAAATATAGTTACAAAAGGTGAAAGATTAAAAGTAAAGAAAAAGTAGAGTAAAAAGAATAATAGTGATAAAATGCTTTCATAAAGATTTTTAGCATTGAAAACGGCAATTAGCTACCTGTAAAAATTATAAAAACTAACGTACAGAAATCTGTAGTTGACAAGCTAAATTTTATAACTTTTGTAATGTTCGTGCATCAAGAGTTAGATATTTCTTACTAATTATAAATGCGAAAGTTTAGATGTATAGATTTCTGTAACAGTTGGTAGCCTAAACTGTTAAACGGATCTCGATGAAATTTGTCATAGGTGTAAAGGATAGTGTAGAAGAACAAATAGGATATTTATTTCTGTTTATATAACGCGGATGGAGTCGCGAACGAAAACTAGTAAATAAATAACGTACTTGAACGTTAAAGACGGATCCGATAGCCATCCCCATGCCCTCAGACGCGAGAGAGACGATGTTAGCTATGAGACAGAAGCAGATGAACCGCATCACTCCGAACGGTACACCGACCATGAAGTACACGATGGTACAGAAGACAATGTTCAACGTAACTTGTACCGGCAGCTTGGACACCGTTAACGCGGCGTAGTACGGACACAAACTGTACCAGCCGTTAAAATGTTCTTTCTTTACAAGTTTCACTTCCTGTGGATCTGAAAAAGGAACCAGAGATTTTATGCATTTATTTATATTATTTTCGTTCTATGAACATCAGTCTTAAATTAACCCATGACCATCGAGCAGCCAAACGAAAACTTGTAATTCCAGTTGAGTTCTACTCTAAAATGATTAACATTTACAATATATTTTTGAATCGCATATTAGTATGATTTATGATTTTAACATTTTCTAGACGCCAAGATATATATAGCTTTAATAATCCGAAAATAGCATTGTTATTCATCACTCGTTTATTAAAAAAAAAAAACAAACATTAAAAGTCGTGCTTAACGACTGATTCAAGTGTCTTGCCGAATGTATTTACGTCATAGGAAATTATTTACGATGTATAATTTTAGCTTATCATTACAAAAAACATGATAAAGATCAAAGTGAGTTAACACATGTGAAAATCATCAAGATAGTAATTACGCAGATAAACGCAACTGTGTTGCACTAACCCAGATGTACAGACTTAGAGAAGTCAGATGTGAACTGTAATCGACATCAATTAGACTCGCTCAATAGACCTGAGTGTAATAGAAGTATAAGAAAGCCATATTATCGAATAACATCATCGGAAGCAGTAAAGACATTTATACGATTTTGTTTATAATTCGAGCAGCAAGCATTGTTTTCACGATTAGCTATTGTTCGCGACTTTTTCTACGAGAAAATTGGAAAATAGTAAAAAACAGCCTATGTTACTCACTGATAACGTAGTATTTATAAGTGCAGGAATTTCTCGATATTGGACCAGGAGTATTTGAGTTATTTCAATACATACAAAGATACAAATCTTTCCTCTATTTCATTAGTATAGGTATATATAGACAAGAATTACTAAGTACAAATTATGGTTCCGCGAAAAAGTGCTTCTCCAAGATTCTGCTCTTCCATAAAAAGGGAATAACTTGATTATTTTGGATATCTTTGTACAAATTTGTCAAATAAAATCACATTAAAACTAGTTAGTTTTCGTATATACTTACAGACTAAGACTGGGACCATGATTTGAGTGTACGCGAAGAATATAACGAGGCCGACGCACATCTTCAAGTGATTGAACATTTGCGTGCCGTCGTTGGCCATGTCGAAGAAGCAAAGTCCTATCAGCACGCCGCACATCGTGTGGTGTATCGTCTGGATCCATAGAGCTGGAAATTATGAATTTCAATTTAATTTTAAATGGAAAAATAGATTTTTTTTTATATTTAAAGGTGGTTAACGAGTAAGCGGCCATCTGAATCCGCCAAAATGGCGACCGCTGCCCATACCCATTCGCAATAGCGGATGCGTTGCCTACCCTTAATCGACGGAGGAGACGCACACAAAGAGGATATTTCCCCTTCCTATGCGTCTCCTCCACCGTCAAATCCACGTTCCCTTTCCATACTATTTTTTATGAGAAGGGCAGAAAGGAAAAGGGACTAAAGTTGGGCTTCCGGCTTTTTTAACAAAATTAAAATACCTAAATATTTACTCCTTAACTTTAATAGCGTGAAAATATATTGCATTAAGCGTGTGGTAAGTGTAGGGATTTTTATTAAAAATATACTGGTATTGATGACATCCTAAATAACTAATTAGTTGTTTGTTTACGCTTTATTATATCAATATAAAGTTAGATTAGTATAGATATACTCGTAGATCTTACCTTGTCTATTTCTTGATATTTGTTTCAACATCCGTCGCAGCAGTATCAAGAATTGTTCAAAACATGTCGTTGGATATCTCCCCAGTTCGGACTTTTGTACTTTCATCCAGGCTAATGACGAGTTGTCTCTGGATACTTGGCTCGATAGTGACGTCATAGAGTTTCTAACTTCATATTGATTCGCGTTGTAACACTTTTGGTTGGATAATACGATCTCTGTTTCGCTATTTTGATCTTCTGCTTGGTAACAAATTTTTAGTTGCAAATTGTTAGACGTTTCGATAGGTGGGATATCCAATTTTGACGATTTGTACAACTTTCCGTTATGAATTTGTTCTGATAGTATAATTATGTTTTGTGGATTTTCTGTTACTTCGATGACTGAAAAATATAGTTTAACTAATTTAATTTTTTATTTTATTTTATAGATGTGTTCTGCCGTGTTCGCAATTTTTTAATGTAACTGGCCGGTTTCTCAGGTGCGTTTATCTGTTAGTATTTTTGATCCGACACCTTCATGAAATGCGTTTCCCAGCTACGTAACTTGAGTTTTACTCCGTTAAAACTTAGGTCAACCTTACACTAATTAATCAAGGTAATGACAAAATAAATGGAAATTTCAGAAACCCAGCAGTAATGTTTTAACGGTAAACAATAAACTTTAAATGCAAATAGATTTAATTCTTTTGAATAAACATTTTCTTTTTCATTAATTCGATTAGCCATTTGATCGAATGAACTTCCGCGTTAGGATAACTTTATAGTCAAACAATAAATACACATTAGATAACTAAACAGGAAAATACAAAGTATAAAAGTAATACAGTTTCGGTACATTGTACAAACATTGTAATGATAATTATAGCGGACTAGGATCACATGTTATTGTGCACATCTTACAAATAATCTGCCCATCAAAGTTATATGCAGACTGACCCGGAATATAAAAAACTTCACCAATTACAAAAAAAAAAATTAAAAACACATTAGAGCAATGTAATAAAGTTAATGAGACGCCTCTAGGTCTCTTACATTCTAGATTAAATTATATGAAAACTGGCAGTAACTGCCACATCTATAGTCTTTTAGTGATGGCAGACCCTTAGTTTATGGTTATAGAAATCTACACTAAGAGCATTAAGTGACTACAGAACTATAAGTACGGCAACAAGATAATATCTTACTGAAGTCAGCTGGGTTGTAATGTCTAGGACACGGTAATCCAACGCTTTGTAAATGTGGAACCATCGCTTCTGTGTCTCCTTGATATATGCATAGACCATCAGCTATCACATATACCTGGAAAGTAATAGAAAAGTTTGCATTAAGAAGAAAATATTGCAGTTTTTATGATAGAATATTTTATTATTATTCAGTCATGTCGTAATGTTGGCAACAAACTAAGTAAATAATTATAAACATTACTATCATCGCCTAGGTTTAGGGCACAGATAGAAAAGGCCATATGTCTGTGAATTAATAAATCATAAACACTAAAAGTATCGTGTATAAACGGCATCATCTGCTTTCTTTTTAAACTGTCATTAAAATGTAAAGTCGTGTTCTAAACAATTGCCAACGTTTAGTTTGCAATTGTTTAGAACACGACTTTCTGTTTCACAATATTTCAACGTATCTTTGTTTACTTTTGTACTGTAACGGTTAGAATAATTAAAAGTAAAATAAAAAATGTATCAATCGTAACAATACATTTTGTAATTGAATCGCTCATTTACAGTCACTATGTAAATGAACCAGAATATTAACGTATGCAAATATGCAATGCATACACGCACACACGGAACAAGGATATATTTCCTAAGCAATTAAACGATAATAATGTTTATTTACGAGCAAAAAGTGGTGCTTCAAAAGGGTTCTACAAGATTTTTACCTTACCATAATAAAAAAAATCTTTTTTACAATTCAAGTTTTAAATCAATGCATACTGTCAGAATGACCTCTAATAAGTAGGACAGTGTAACTCATCCCTGATAACACTCAGACTGATAAGGCAGGTCGCGATGAATCAAGGTTTCCAATAATCTATACTTCTTTACTAATATAATAAAGCGTAAACACACTACATCATGGCGTAGGATGTCAGCAATCACAGCATATTAAAAAAAATCAATCTTTAATAAAATGCCCTACACTTTCGACACGCTTTAGGCTATATATTTTCACGCTATTAAACTCTGGGGGTACATATATTGGAAAAAAAACCTTCATGTGGGAAAGGAAACCTGAACTACAAGCTGCCAACATTAAGTAAGCAAAGTTAATATGTTAACGGTAATTGTTTTTAAATGGCAAATGCTTTCGTTGTCATTTGTGCATTTGAATTTTGTCATTTGACAAATGTAAACATAAAATGAAGTTTTTTTATAATTACATGCGGAAGAAGCCGCACGGAAACAGCTAGTTTTATATACGATAAGTGATATAACAGTATAGTAAACAATAAATAGTAAGATACGTAGCATAAAAGGAAAGATTGTTTTTACTAGTTATCGATACAAGTCTATGACTTCCTGAACTAACATTCCACTCACTTTAAAACCTATTTCTTGGATACAAGTTTTGCCAACGTGAAATTTGAAGTTAGATCGAGTTTATTACAATAAGAGAAGTGAATTTATCGTAAATGTTATTACACGAAAACGAGTAACTGTACAATATTTGCAGTTCAAATTTTTTTAACCTTTGCTACAATCGACGGAATTCGATTAGTCACATCGATTTTACATATAACAAACCATTTTGTATGTTAAATCGATATCGACTGTAAAGAACGAATTCGCATACTATTAGTCATACATTTTCTGATAAATTAATCGTTTCTCTCTTATTTAAACTTCCAAAGTTCTCAACTCACCTGATCAAAGAGTTCTAGAAGCGAGGCAGCAGGTTGGTGTATAGTACACACTACTGTTCTACCCTGTCTTGCAAGCTGTCGCAATAGTTTGACGCATTGGACTGTAGTAACAGTATCTAGCCCGCTAGTTGGCTCGTCCAAGAAGAACACTGGGGGATTATTTACCAACTCCAAGGCTATTGACAATCTGTAAAATTATATAGAGTGTGTTATAAATAATCATTACGTTTAATGTTCAACAGAATGTGGTCAGGACAAAACGAATTGTGCTAATCACAAGGGAAGTCTTAAAGTGGACGCATACTTTGGACTAATCTATGCACAAGTGATGTACGATTGTCGATTGTTTTGCAACCAATTCAACTTTTTATTTGCGCAACTAAAAATCACAAAGTGTGCGCACTGATATAAGCTGATCAGGAATCAAAGCGCAACTAAACAGTTGTGCGATTAGTAAAAGATGTGCGCGCGGTTTTATACCGATTAATCATCCACATTTTACATTTACCCTTTTTGCTCATAATATCTCTCCCGGAGCAAACCCTTCGGCTTTTAGTCCCTTTTTATACTGGTGTTAAATAATATTATTTTTAATTAATACAAACTTAATGGCGTTATTTTTGACCAGTCAGTGGGTATTTTAACTCAATGTCGTTGGGACGTCAATAAACATCAACTATTGCTTATGTTTCATTGCAAATTATTATGATTAAGAAACATAATGTCGCAAAGGAACTACAAAGGTAAACTGGAACACTTTTTCACAAATTGCAACATTAATGGAATGGAATCGAGATAAAATTACGAAACAACTAATGTAACTTAAAGTACTTTCGGTATCAGTATTGTTTACTATAGCTTAATGGTTTTTTATATAAGCAATATCAGGAAAAGATGAATAAAAAAAGCTTGAAGGAAAGAAAGCAAATATTTGAAGTGTTTAAAGTCAAACAGTTAGGGTGTAAGTTAATTTAATTGCCGAGAATTGGCAGTAGAACCTTATGAATCTGTTGTTACGTAGGTAAAGTCAATGTATTCCTTTTAATATTTAACAGTATTTTAAAATGATAATTATTGTCATAATAAAAAAATAAAACAATGTAACACAACCCTTTCACTGACGTCGTTTAGTTTGACGATGCATTGTTCTTTCCCTCCATCTCTGGTTTATTATGAATTTACGTCATTGAAATTTATACAATCGATTTATTTATGCATTTTATTTTATTTACGCGTATCTTCTGAATTCTATTTACTGGTTATTTAACAACAGGAATGTCATTTGAAAGCTTAATTTAAGTCTGGAAAGGAATCAAGTCTTTTTCAAGGTGTTTGTTTAAGGAAATGATTTTTTTTTTCGCTTGAAAATAATAAGAATGAAATAAGCAAATACTAAATTTGTTTTTTGTAGATGCTTGTAGCAATTATCATACCTGATCACTGGATAAGAATTCGTATGAAACGTTTTAACTTTTATTTAGAAGATAGAATGTTCCAGAGCTTACATCGTACCTTTTCTTCTGTCCTCCTGATAACTGATCAGTCTTCGTGTGCTGATGTTCCAACAGCCCCAACTCTTGAAGTATTTCTTCGCAAGGTGCGCTTACACCTTTCGATAGCTTAAGACTGGCGGCCACGTCCAGCGCCTCGCGTACCGAGAGATATGGCTGCAGCAGATCTTCCTGCGTGATGTAGCAAGAAGACCTCTGGAACTGTCGCTCGTCACGCACCTGCCCGTTCACCAGCAGCTCGCCTGTGACGCCAGCTGATCTGAATTAATAAAAATACAACATAAAGGACATATCTATTCCTATCGTATATCTTGGTCAATACTGAATAAACATTCAGTTAATTAAAAATAGTGTTGTCAAATTTAACTATAGCCTGACACGGAATATAGAAAACATTTACGTCAATACATCATACATTGTCTTTTAAAAATTAAATTTAATATTTCTGACTTATTCTCCAATAAATTGTTTTTTTTCTCCACGGTATTGTATACATTTCTGCATGAAACACACACAAAATTATCATAAACGCAAAAATATACCGCATTAATATTTAATAATATGCTTCCACTTCTCGGCGTCATTTAACAATGTCATTGGCAATATTTTTTAAAAGTAATTTACTCTGGCCTCTATAAGCAATTACTTCTACACACTTCCGTAACATATTTGACAGAAATTAAAATTAAAAGCATTGCTTTTATAACCAAGTAACCAATAAACGTTGCGCGTGACAACCATTGTCGCAAATTCTCTAAAATTTTGGGAAAACTGTCATACAAAATCTTTACCTTGTTAAATAGTTTTTTTCTAGATATTCCAAGCTTGATTTAGCGTATTTCTTTTGTTATAACCTAACAATAACCCTGGCCTGGGGGCACCTCAATCGTCTTGTTCAAATGAGTTCCAAATGTTTCCGCAATATGGTGAAAAATTTTATATTTCTGGTTAGTCTATAAATATAACATACCTGTATCCTGATATAGCGTTGAGCAGTGAACTTTTGCCGGCACCCGAGGGACCCATGATAGCAACAAGCTGTCCCGACAGGAATCTACCACTGACACCCTTTACAATCTGTTTCTGATCTCCTAAAACAAAAAGAATCTCATGTCATTGTTATAATTATCTCAGAAATGCTAGGTTGCTTAAGTCTTCAATTATATTATTACCTAGTGATGTGAAGTTTTAACGGAGTAAAACCCAACTACCGAAACGCATTTCATGAAATTATCGAACCAAAATCACTAACGATTAGTTAAATGTTTGATAGATGGGAAACCGGACATTAAATGGTGGACTATGACTGCCCACTGTATTCATTCTATTTGACAGTCTTAGGCATATTTGAAAATGTCTTAACATAGTTCCAAGCTATAACCACATTAAAATGTAGACAATGCAATACACGTAGCACTTAATAAAATAATAAATATAAAAAGTAAAGCTATCAATCTGTATGCACATAAAAATCTGTAGTTTATTTTTTAAATGTACCTACATACATGCTCGGTCGATTTAGTATGCGAAGGGCTTTGCAATGACACAGAGCAGACAATAGCTCAGTATGTCAACCCGATTGCAATATCCGGTTACACGAATAACCTATTACTAACGCACGCAAATGCGATAAATATATTGGACAAGTTCAATTTTATCATGACCTATTTGTTTCATTTGTTTTTTGTATGATGTCATTATATGTACAAAGTCCCATTTTGCCGTTACTAAATGTTTTTAGTACAATTATGACTCTGATCTTAATTATCAATTTCTCGTAATGATTATTTTTATCTATTAAGTGTGTGTGTGTGTGTGTGTGTTATTGTTGTTGTCCTATCGAAAGTGAGGCAGAGGGCGTCCACAGTGCGCCGCCAGCTCACTCTATACTGGGCTCTGCGTTTTGTCTCGGGCCATGACAGCCCTATTGCCTTCTTGTCGGCCGCTAATTAATTTATCATTAATTCTAATTCATATTATTCGAATCCAGCGCTGGATTACTACTGGAAAAATGTAAACACGCTGGATTTAACTGAGTAGGTGAATAATAAAAAGCAAATAACATAAATAATTTAATACATCGATAGTTTAAATTAGTGAAAAGCAAATGTATTTTCTAGAATACTAATTTACCGACAGTACTAAGTAAATAAACGAAATCTATGAAACTAAATATTCAACAAACGGTTTGATATGTTAACAAGTAAAATTCAATTAAACGTAGGTGTATAATCTGATAACATATATTTTTACAAAATCAACAGTATGCATACAAAACGTGTACAAAATAATTTGCAAATATACTGCTAATAATTATGTTTGAGGTTGAAAATATGGTAGACAAGTTCGCCAAGTACTACCGTATTTTATTTGTTGGAAATAATAAATAAAAGAAAACAAGTAAAACCTTTTGCATCATAATACTACAAGCACACGAAGGTCAGAATCAGAATCATAGCAATATAAGTTACATGCAGTTGAAAACTGGTAAATCTATTTAGTTTTTTACCGTATCCATTTTCGCACTTCTTGATAGACCTTTGGTATTTAATCGTATAAAAACACGACCATAATTATACATCTTACAAATATTATAAATGCGTAAGTTTAGATGGATGGATGGATGTTTGTTAGAGTTTGTAGTTTAAACGGATCTCGATGAAATTTGGGATAGACGTAGAGGATCGTCTGGAAGAACACATAGGCTACTATCTTTTGTTTTTTATAATTCCACGCGGACGGAGTTGCGGGCGAAAGCTAGTATATTATATTCTTTAAAACTCATAACCTTCTTAACTTTGAATTTGGAGTCCCCTGGCACTTTACTTGTATTGACACTTATTGACTTCCCTTACGTTGTCTATAAAAAAACAAAGACAAGAGTCACAGCAGTTGAAAGCCACAGTAATAAAGGAAACTATACGATTTATAAATGCCAGACACTAATGTAAAAAAAAACAACAATAAACTCGACTGATTATAACTGCAAGTTACTGCGTACAAGAGACGTCATAAACGTAAACTTTGTTACCAATATACAAAATATATTGACTAAAATATGTATATCAAAGTAAAGAAAAAATAACATATGTATTTTTTTCTAAACCACACATATGGTAATGAAACATTAACTGTGCTCAAAAGACTCCAGAGAATGTTTTTGGCCTAAAAAATATAATATTTTTGGCAATCCTTGATACTACACCGCATGCTGAATTCAATTATGATGGAATTATAACAACTGGGCAACTACAATTAGTTTATAATGTATGTTCAAAGTTATATAAATATTCATTTTAAATTTGTATTCAACGCCTCGATTGAACCTTTGTGATTAAATATTATATTTCCATTAACAACTAGTAACCCGCTGTGCTTTGAAAAACCGAAGTCAAGACAATGTAAAACGTACAATATATAAAAACAATACCAAATATTCCATGAGCAAAACGTTTTACAAAACATTGTAGTTTTAATAATCTCAAGATGCTCAAAACTCGGACTTTTTAAAACTACCCTAACAAAAATTCATCCGAATTTGTCAAATTATAAGAATCTAGTTTCAGAACGAAACATTGTTCCAACGATACTTCAGTCTACTGAATCATATTTATGACAACATCGAAGATAAACTTGCAACGTAAACGACTAAATACGCATTACAATGTGCAATGCATTATGCAGTTCTATTACTCAACATTCAAGCGCCCCCATGTATTATACGCACTAGTTTTTTTAATGAATTTCGCTCGCGACTCCGTCCGCGTGAAAATAATAAACACAAAAGTAAGTAGCCTATCAGTTCTCTCAGTATATCCGTTACAAGTATGCCAAATTTCATCAAGATAAGTTCAGCGGTTTAGGCTGCAAACTCAAACATTAATCCATCCATCTATACTTTGTAAAAAACTAAGAATTTAATTAAACATCCACAGAAAATTATAATGAAAGATGTAGAAAAAGTAGTTTGTGTTTGTACTTTTTATTAATTTTAATAGAAAAAGTCTGGAAGTCTTGGACTAAGACGTGCTGCTCCCTTAAACAGGATAGTTCAATGTCTAGACAACGACATTAATATTTATTTGTGTCGAATTGTGATTCTGAGAAAACAAATATTTTTTGTTTACCTATAACAAACTTTTATCGTTGTGTTTGACCTAGCGATCCATATTCAAACGAATTGTCCTTGGAACAATTGATAGGGTATAATTGCTTGTTTGTTTTTTATATTTACAGTGCAGTATAATTAAATTGAAGTATACCTTTTATAAATCCAACTTTTAACTGCTGAAACATTCTTAGAACGTTTAAAAAAAATTAACATGTTTATGGTCGGTTTCTGAAGTTCCCGCTTATTTTGTCCTTACCCAGCGAATGATTAGCGTTAGGTTGATAGATTCAACAGAGTAAAAAGTTACCTATTTTGGAAACGCATATCATTAAATTAACTAACCAAAATTACTAACGAATGGTTAAACTTAGCTGGGAAACTGGCAATTAGACTCATAGATATTTTATATAAACAGTTAAGGAAACTTTATTATATATTGCAATAATATTTATTGCCTTATTCAGGTCAACTAGTAGCCCATGGAATATATCTTTTTAGATATCAATATAATATGTCAGATTAACTATTTACGTTAGTTATTTCTGACAGTTTAAAATGACACTCGCCTAATAAGCGTGAAAATAGACAGACAATCAATTACATGGATAAATGCAATAATTGTGCTTGCAGCTTGTTAGTACTCACATTACGACCTATTGACTTCATTAATAAATATCTGACGGCGTAATTATGATTGTTTAAACTTGACTTAAATCCCAGATAAGACTGGTATTTAAATTTGGCCACAGTTAAAAAGTTTTTGATATAATCTTACTAATATTATAAATGCGAAAGATTAGATGGATGGATGTTTGTTAGAGTTTGTAGTCTTAACTACTAAACGGATCTCGATGAAATTTGGCATAGATGTAGAGGATACTAAAAAGAACACATTGGCTATTTACTTTTGTTTTTTGTCATCCGGCGCGGACGGAGTCGCGGCCGAAAGCTAGTGTCTTATAAATTGAAAAACAAAAACTGTATTTACGAAAAAGCATGAATCATTGTCATGTTCAGTCTATCCGCAAACGAGAGCGCGGAATAAAAGATAAAGAAGCACGATCTATATAGGCGTATGACTTGTGACTTTATCATCTAAAATTATTTACATACATAACATTTTCAAAAATTCATATATTTTGAATACGCATATAATACACCTACTTACATTTTATTAGTGAATTCATTATCTGTCTATCTATACTAATATAATAAAGCGTAAACATTGTCCTATGTAAGTTGTAAGCAATCGCAGTATATTTTTAATTATTCTTTTTTAAATAAAGGCCCGCTATAGGCTACATTTTCACGCCATTTAATTCAGAGGATGAATACTTTGGGAAACCCTGAAAATGTGGAGTTAAGCGGATGAAGCCGCACAGGAACTGGTAGTAATTTCATAAAATCAATCCATAGATATATAGAAGCATACAATTCCTATATCGTAAAATGATTTTAGTTTACGAAGTACGTAAGAATATAATGTACAATTTTTTTCTGGTGAACTTAGAAGATTTTCTTAGTAATAATCTAAATTTCTTGTAATTATTTTTCTCGATCAGTCCCGAAATACATGAAAATTGGAACAGCGTCAAGATAAAATTCATTATAATTATAAGCTATATATGTACAAAGTCGTGTATGTGTTACTTTGTCTCGTTGCTATTTATAAAGAATCTTGGCAAAGTGAACAAATTCAATGCGGTATTCGGCATTGACTGATCTTGATGTAAACTCTATATAGATATTAAACTGAATGTGGAAGCAATACTAAAAACAAATAATTCTAAACCGATTGTTAAGAGTGTAAGAAATCTCTACTAATGTTATAAAGAGGAAATTTCTGTATTTTTGTAATTTTGTATGCATTAAAATAAAAAGCTACGTTAACAGTGAGTAACATATACGTTTTTAATATTTTTTTTTATTTATACGCAGATAAAGTGGCGAGTAACAGCGAGTTTGATTACATTTTTAAATTTCTGTAATTTACTTCATTATTTACACTTGGTAGAGTAAATAAACAAATTTGTATAATGTTCAATGTGAACCGCTACTAAATGTTGACATAATGACTGTCAGTTTGCGTTTTTGAAGGAAAAATAAGTGAAGGTAAAAATGGAGAGATCAAAAGAAAAAAACAATTTTAAATACGGAAAACCCTAGAAACACATTCGGTACTTCCTTGAATGATTTGTTACGATATTGCATTGATATTTTATTAAAACTGGACTCCGTTAAGAAAGCTAATGAATTTGTGTTTATTTCCAAGAAAGGATTACCACATTCAGCTGTGCCAGAATATGGTTATTATGTTATGCTCCGATGCACGTATTTAATTTATTCAAAGATTTCGAACATCAATTCTGCTCTTAAAGTAGTAAGATTTTAATTAGTAATTCCCATACCAAATTCTACATATCTAACTAACTTGTAAGATATATTAACTTTAATTAGAGTTAACGCAAGAAATAATAGCTTTATAGGATGAGAATTGTATTGTATTGAAGTAATTTGAATGTAATTACCTTTAGTTATGCGACTGTACACAGTATAGGTGAGGTTTCTGAACTCCAAATCCATTGTGGATAGGCTGAAACAAAACAAATAATTTTAATTAAGTCACCTTCTTACCTTTATCATACCGTTATATACATAGAAATTAGTATGGCATATATGTCGCAATTTTAACTTCGTTACATATACATATATATAGTTATACTTGGTGTTCCCGTGCGGCTTCATCCGCATGAAATTATAAAAACCTTTATTTTATTACTTATACATACTTGTCAAATTCTCAATTGCAAATGTCCAAATACCGTTACCATAAATAACCTTGCTTCCTAATGTTGGAAATTTGTAGTTGTTACCTTTTCCACATGAAGGAATTTTTCCAATTTATTTACCCCTTAAGTTTAATAGCGTAAAAATATAAAGCCTAAAGCGTGTCGTCAATGTAGGGCTTTTTATTAAAGAAAGAATTATTAAAAAATATGCTGTGATTGCTGACATCCTACGCCACAAAGTGGTGTGGGTTTACCCTTTATTATATTAGTATAGATATTCAATCACCAGACACCGGTATCCACCTTTTTGTCCTTTTTGTAAGTTTTTAGCGTCATCCATGTGTCGTAAAAAGTATTTGAAGAATATAATAGTGTCATTGACACTATTCAGATGTGATATTTCAAACTGCATCAATATAGACGAAACTGTTTTGATTTTATGGGAATTAAACGTTAGATTGCATTTTTATTCTTGCAATCTTGTGCTAAATTCGTCGCAACTACCTCAACGTGAATCAACAGCATGGCTTTCTCTTAGTTTACCGGTCCTACTGCTTTCACTGTACGTTTAAATATGCTTTTATTTAATAAATAACATTTATGCTTTGTAACAATAAAACTATTACTCATATTTATTGGATTTTTCAACAAACTTAATGCTCTGTAAGGCACCTATTTCTCTTTATTTTCTTATTAGGGTTGACATTCACATTTCGTTTTATATTATTAATTTGATTGCGCCTCCTGAGTGTTATTATTATTAATAGTCTGTCTCTAGAACAAATTGTTATTTCGTCAATTTAAAATTGAAAAATATTGCTTTTAAAATAACGGTCCCTAAATTATGAAATCGAAACATTGGACTTGCTTTTTACTTTTTATTCACTACTAGCTATCGCCCCCGACTACGTACGTATATAATTAAAAAAAAATAAAGTGAATAGCCTATGTGTTCTTCCAGACTATCCTCTACATCTGTACCAAATTTCATTGAAATCCGTTCAGCCGTTTAGGCTACAAATTCTAACAAACATCCATCCAAACTTTCGCATTTATAATGTTGTACTCGTAGTATAGTATTAATTATTAATTTGTACTCATCTATTTAATAATCAATATTCATAATAGTTTATAGCACGCAATTACTCTCAGAGTAAATAGCTATCATATCTGATTTACAGATCGATTGTTCTAAAAGATAATTTGCATTCCAATATCTCACAACATCTCATAAAATTATATAACCAAGGCCGTTTATTAGTGTTACGGTCATTACGGTGTAGTAAAAGCGTTGACCGCTTCCACATAGCTCGGATCTTTCTCGAAATGTGCACTTTCACAAGCTCGACTCGGCTAGCAAGGCGCGGTGTAGAAATCAGCAATACTCACACGTGTTAAATACTTGGGCCTTGAGAAAATCTAATTTTGTCACGGGCATTGCATTTGGCAATGTGCAAGCAAATTATGATGTTAAGGTACTAAATAATATGACTGTATAGAAGCTAACTGCACTCCAATAATTTGTCATATGTATATTAACTATACCTGTCATAAAGAGGATAGATTTTAATTTTTGTATGTAGTGGAATAAATTAAAAACTAGGCCGATTTCAAAAATTCTTTCACTATTAAAAAGCTACGATATCCCTGAGTAACGTTAGCTTCGTTTTTTACAATTTTTAATTTCACGTGGCTGAAGTAGGGAGCATCAGTTAGTCAATCATAAAGTCATTGCAATTATATTTATCAAAACACGAGCTGTTGCCCGCAACTTCGTACGCGTGGTATTAGAAAACATACAAACTATATGAATTACAAAAAGCTACGTATCCCTCGGGAACCGGACATTTCTCGGAAATGAAGCTTATCCCATGTGTACTCCAGACTTTGTTTTATATCTGTGCCGAATTTCAATAAGATATGTTGAACCGTTGCAGAATGATCGAGTAAACATTGAAAAATTAAATGAATGAATCCCACGGGAACCGTAACTATTCCAGGGATAAAAATTAGTCTATGTGTTCTTCCAGACTATACTCTAAACCTGTGCCAAAATTTCATGGCGATCCGTTTAGCCGTTTAGGCTACAAACGCTAACAAACATCCATCCATCCATCCATCTATCTAAACTTTCGCATTTATAATATTAGTAAGATTAGTAATAACAAAATATAGCCTAAATTACTCACAGACAAATTACCTTTCTGATGGTGAAAGAATTTTTAAAATGGACCCAGTAGTTTTTGAGTTATTTCAATACATACAAAAATACAAAAATACAAATCTTTCCTCTTTATAATATTAGTATAGATATAGATATAGACATAGATAATTTAATTAGAATCTAGAATTTGTCACTTCAATAACTAGTTGCTAATTTTTGAATGCTAAAGGGTTTTTAGATGACCTTCAAAGTTGATCTTTTAACACTTCATCATCATCACCAGCTCACTATACGTCCCCACCGAGGGGCTAGGAGCCTACCCTAAGATAGGGTGACTAGGCCATAGTCTTTTTATACTTATTTTAAGTATTTAGGTGTAACAAATGGTTATTGCATTTAAATGTAGCCATATGCAAATAAAAAGATGTGTGGATATCATTGTTTTTGGAACAAGTTTTTTGTGCAGTATTAAAAAAAAATTAAAAACTTTACAAAACAAAGGCCTTCTGATAAAGTTCCAATGGCGACTTTTTTATTTGATTTTAAACAATCAAACAATACACCATAGTAGATTATAAATACGAAAGTTTAGAACGGCTGAACGGATTTCAAGAAATTTGGTATAGATGTAGAGAATAATCTGAAAAAAACACATAGGCTACTCGTCGATATTTTTTATTTCACGGGACTGAGTCGCGGGCGAAAGCTAGTAAATGATAAATTACTGAACTCGATATAAAATTTCTCGTAAATTTTCGTGTTAGGTATCCTTTTCATAATACGAAGTGTCGATTACAGTGCATTGCACCGACTTGCATTTACCGCTACATAACGTAGGTTCACAGTAAGGTTCTCTGGTGACCAGATAACAAATCTTAACATGGGTATACTGAAAATTAAGATAAGAAATATAAATTCTATATTATTTATTTATAAAATAAAAAAACGTAAAATAAGAAATCATAATTTGTCTTATTAATAATATTAAAGGTCGCACATTCGTCGAGATTCGACTATATTTTGTTTTTAAGTATTCATAATTCATAATTGTGGACGGGTACACCGATAGAGGTAGATCTAGAAAGAGATGGATGGATTGCGTGAAAGGTGACATGATCAAGAAGGGAGTGATGACTGAGATGACGGATGATAGATTTATTTGGAGGACCAAAACCCGGAGCGCCGACCCTACAGGAGTAGGAAAAGGCAGGGGAGATGATGATAATTCAAACTACAGTTAAGTTGTCATTCAAAAAGTAGTGAGGTCAATGTTAATTTTATTTAATTTAACATATTTCTCGAACACTCACGCTTTATGCACATCTACGCCAGTTTAACTTTATTCGTATTAATTTCCATTTTTGAACGACTTCCCAAAAGGAGGTACTCAATTCGTCTGTATGGTTTTTTTTTTCAATTATTCACACAATTTTTTTATAAAGATTATTTTAAGCATAACCTTGGTAAGTAATATATTAAATATCTACGTAGTATTGAGCGTCGCAGGATGATTTTGGCTAGCCATGAGCCAAAATGGCCTAAATCGTTTAAACATCTAACTATTATTTAAATAAGGGGCAACTACCTCCTTCCCCACTATAGCCCACATAGCTATCGTCATCTGCCAACATATTCACAAACTATTACTATACTTGTATAGACGTCTTCAATGTCATATAAAGCTTGTGAAATTTAAACATCATTAAAAAGCAATGTAAGATTTTGAAGTACATTGAATAGCATTTGACCTTATGTGTCTGAATTACATAAGCTATGTACCAATTTTGTCAAAACAAATTATTTCTTCAACATATGCAATTTGGCCCTCGGGACAAAGCAAACTATCGAAAAAGCAATAAAAAAAATTATTAACGTCAACAAGCATTTGCATTCACATCAGCATGTCCTGGTTAGTTTCGGGTAATCTTCAAAAGTGCTGGACAGATTTTAACGGGACTTTTACTGGGATACAAATTAAAAACCAAAAAACACATAAACACAATGTATTTAAAGCAATTCATTTAAACGTAGAAGCAACCTTTTTAATCATTTTTCGTTAGACTTCCAAATATAACTAGTTATATGCTGTTATTCCACTAATTTAAGACTTAACATAATTTAAAACATTCGAATTACAAGCATAACATTCTGAAATACAATGCATTGCAAAGTAACAATAATATCTTGTATTTCAATGAATTGTTTATTTATTGTTTTTTGGATGTCGAATAATCGAATGACTTCAAAATCGACTAAATATTGCATTATATTTTAGTAAACCCAAAATATCGGGGAATCGTTATCATCAAAAAGCTCAAAATGATCTAATGTCTAGGTCTGATTTTTATGTAAATTAATAGGAATATAAAAAGTTCAACGCATTATTAAATTATTACGTTCGCATCCTGATAGACCTAATTTGCAAACTAGTACAAAATAATTTAAGCGTCGCACAAGTCCAGTTTTAAAAACGATCATTAGGTGTACATGTAAACCTGATTTTGGATTGAAAAAAATAGATACGGAACTGTGAAATAAATCGTTTTTTATCACCAATCTTCTGCCGCGTACGTATGATCGAAAGAAATAGAATAAAACAAACTTATTACAATTTAAATTGAAACCACATAAAGAAATTGT